TACTGCATTCATCTTTGGGGCCTGCAACATAAAAAGGATGTGGAGCTGTTGGAGCAAGTCTAGAGGAGGGCCACAAAGATGATCAGAAGGCTGGAGCACCTCTCCTATGAAGACAGGCTGGGGGAGTTGGAGAAGGCTCTGTGGAGACCTGAGAGCAGCCTTCCAGCACCTAAAGGGGGCCTATTAAAATGCTGGAGAGGGACTTTCTGCAAAGGTATGTAGTGACGGGAGAAGTGATAATGGCTTTAAGCTGAAAGAGGTGAGATTTAGATTAGATATAAGGAAGAATTTCTTTACTATGAGGGTGGTGAGGCACTGGCACAGGTTGCCCAGAGAAGTTGTGGCTGCCCCATCCCTGGAGGTATTCAAGGCCAAGTTGGATGGGGCTTTGAGTAACCTGGTTTAGTGAAAGGTGTCCCTTCTTTAATGTCCCTTCCAACCCAAACCATTCTATGATTCTGTAACTCTTCTAAGTGGGTTCTTTTCAATATCTTTCCTTTCTCCTGGTGGCTTTAGATATATTTTATTCTTCAGCTGTGCTTTAATATGCAGTTTGCCACCTCCCTGCCCCAATTCACTTTACTTTTTACTGGTGTGTCCTATGTCAAATCTAGGGGTTTGAAGTGCTGTAATGTTCTGTGTTATTCCTACACAAATAAATGATGCATGTGTGTGATAGATGATCAAACAGATGATGAAGTCATTTATTTGAAATCTCCCCTGGTTCCATAAGTTTTGAATACACAAGAAACATTTCTGAGAAATATCCACAGAAAATGCCAGCGATACCTTTGACCAGAATATACATGTTTTAATAGTCTTTAATATTAAAAATGTGGACAGCAGGCTTGAATGAACGCTCATACACTAGTTTCTTTTAATACTAAAGTGCAGATAGGCTGGAGTAGAAAGAAAAAACTTTTCACCAGGAATGAGAAGTGTGTTTCTGCTAGCATTTTTTTCACACAAGGGATACTGTGGGTGACCCTGTGAAATGCAGTGCACAGTACAGTTTGGTTTTGACCTTGAAAAAATTTAGTCTAGAGAAAGTACATTACCAGTGAAACATCTGAACAACAGATGATAAAATAATCTTATTTGAATTTAGGAGGCAGCATTTAGGGATGTACTGTTTGCAAGCATTGTAGCAGCTGCAGGTTAGCTTTACCTGTAATTCTTCTTTCATATAATTTAATCAGAAGGATTTAAATCATTCCCTTCATACAGTCTTGTTGATATTTTTGGTCTAGAGCCTAGACATACAGCTAGTTTGGTGAAGATCTGAAGGCAAAATAAAAAAATCCTTTTTCATATGTAGTTTGCAAGGATGCTGTAATTAACACTATTTATAGAGGCCTTCACCACGGCCTGCACTTAAGCATGTGCCCAAGCCTGCTCATAAGAGTGCAGTGCTTCAGCACACAAATGAATGATTTCTGGTGCTGCAAAGGAGCTTAGGTTATTCATTCCATCCTTTGTTCTGGATGTCCCACATGCAGATAGGAGCTTTTGCTTCACTATAAGCAATATTTTATCCTACTTTCATTTTCCTATTCCTTTTTAAAGGCATATCTAATACACATTTGTTTGTCACATAATCAAATGAACATTTCACAAACAGGCTGCATGAAAGCATTTCTCCAGATTTTGCTGATTACTCACAGCTTTTTTTAATGCATCCATAAATAGGAATGTGATCATTCACACTGCATATGGCAATATTGAACAAGCTCAGTTGGACTTCCCTGAACTTCTGTATGTGACATAACAGTGCTGGATTTTTAGGGATTTTTTGTGGTGGGTTTGTTGGTTGTTCGTTTTATCTTAGAGCTGTGTTGCCAGTTACCAGCATGTATGTATGCCAAGTATCGTGAACACAACCATCACATCTGCCCATCCATTTAGGACGGATGGCAAATGTGCATATATAAATGTATATACAAAGTACTTTGCTAAAGTAGCAAAGATGCTAAGAGTCAACAACATGATTAGCTTTTATCATATTGTAACATTATAAGTGTCAAATGTATGTTCTACAAGACTCCAGTTTCATAAGACTTAATTACAGAAGTTTGAACTTTGGTGAAATATTTGCAGAGCAGTTATTGATATTATTTGATGTCATGGCTTTCCAAGGTTTCATTGAAACTAGGAGGATTAGTTTTTATCTTTGCTGAAGAAGTTAATATAATTTAAAAAAAAAAAACAGGCTATCTATGGCCATAGTAGTTGTTAGTGTAAGATTGTTATTACATTTAAAGATTATTCTCTGATATATCAGCCACTTCTGTACTAAATTTTGAAAGTAACAAAAATAAATTCCTCTTCTGGTATTTCACTTCATTGAAGTGTACAGGGAAGTGAAAATGTTACTTTAGACTCATCCAGGTCAGTCAGCTGATTATTGACTCCAATTTCATAGTGATGGAGAATAGCAGAATTATATGTATGATAAAATCAGGATAAAAATACTAGTTTGATATGATAGGCAATACATTTTATGAGAAGGAACCCATCGCTATCATTATGTCCAGTCTGCACTGTGTAGTTGTAGCAGCATGCAATTCAGTCAGGTGCTAGGGATGCTGGGTTTTACAAGGGAGAAGTTGTAAATCTGAGTGACTCTGTGATGTATTCTGTTCCAACCCATTGCTCTTGCAAAGTCTGAAAGAGAAAGACACAGAAACACATCTAACTCAGGGTCTTGTGCTGGGGCGATAATTATACCAATTAAAGGAGTCTCTCATCAGATTGTTTTTGAGGCCACTAACTTTATTGGCATCTGCCACATTTGCAACTGATAAAACGCAAGCTTTGCAAATGACATTAAATGAAAAGCGAAAGTAGCCACAGCACCTTTTGCCATTTTTGCAAGATACAGAAAGTATTTTAGTAAACTAAAGACTGATGGATGTTTTGGCCTTGACACAGTAGAATTGGAATAGAGACCTGCAAATCCAGCCTACCAGCTAATAGTGGCAGAATTTCTCTTCTCTAATTCTGGCATGAGCAATTAATTAACTGGACCAAAATTAATTACCTGGACCACCTAACAGCTGGAATAAATGATGCAAACTCTGTTTCTTAGCTGTGAAATGAGATTGTTTATTTTCTGTTCTGTTAAGAATGAAGTGATAAGGAAGGCAGCAGAGCCTCTGTCTCAGGTGTGCCCCATTGGCCATCAGAGGAAGGGAAGGGATTCCTTTCATTGGTGTGAGGGTTCTCGTAACATTGCTCTGCCTGCTCCTGGCTGGTGGGTATTTACACATGCTGCTGAGTACTTGGTACAGCTCTTCCAAGAGATACCACTCTCTGACTTTTTATCCTTGCAGATAGAATCAAAGTTTTAAGTTGTGGAATCAGGCTATGTGATGAACACTTTTATGTCATGCAGACCAATGGTTTAGGACATAGAATTTTAAGCCTGTAATAGGGTAATAGTAATTGAGGCAGGTACAAATGTATGTCAGAAAGTTAATAGAAAATGCTAATGTAAAGACAAGACTATCCCCACCCGTGTTGGTTGTTCTTAATCTTTTAAATCTGCCAACTCTCAAGACTCTGAAGAAAAGTTGCTGTTTGATGTGAGGCAACTTATGATATTTGATAATCAGAAGCAAAAGGTGCATGCAGCAATGTCTGAGCATATGCAGGCTTCTTTTTTTTTTTTTCTGACTAGTGGACAATTTTAACTAAATATCTGAATAGTCTGCATTTAAAAAGCAAAACAAAACCACTTTTTTTTTCTTAAGTGGTAACTTATGACTACTGCTGTAGGATCAGAATTAAATTTTTCCTAGTCAGTCATTTTATAGTTTGCAAGTATCAGTAAGAAGCTGATCTCCAAAGTAGCACTAAGTAGCCATCAGGGAGAAAAACCAAAAAGGAGGGTTTGGGGATTTTAAGTCTTTGCTGTAAAGTTTTACTACGTTTTGGTCTGATGGGAGTTCTTATAATTTACATATTTTCTCACAAATGTGCTTACTAATCCCTGAACCAATGCTGGTCAGATGTGCTTCTCACTCAAGCATTAATTTATTAAGCCAAAAGCATTTTAAAAGGTAACTTTTAGAGGAAGCCTGACTAGAAACATTGTGAATGAGCAGATAATTTCTGCTTCTGACATTATCACATCGTTCAAGCTGTAGTTGTCAATCCTAATGAAAGGTGGTAATGCTGATTTGAGTATATTTTTTATATGACATGCAAGAGCTTTGTGCGATGAGTTTCTGTTACTGTCATTTATAATCAAAGTGTCCATCACTATTCTCTTAAAAACTGCTTGGCAAATAAATAATTAAAGGTCCGATTCTGGTACACTTCGTTGAGTGAGAGTAACTTCTGAGATCAGTCCAAATACAGTAAATGAAATTTCTTCAAAGTAAAGTTTTAAGATAAATAATAGTCAAAGCCAGTTCTTGTTTAAGGCAGGAGGGTGTTCTGGTTTACGTGCTTTAAAACACAATCCCACAGATACTTAAGACTGTCCACTCACAAACAATGCCTAACGTTGTCTGTCATGCCTCAACATGTTATGTTTTGTTCACAGTAGAAAACTAGTCTTATTAATTAAGGGCCAGGTAAGTGTTACCTGTGTATTAAAACACCAAAAGATAAACAAGTTAATCTGATGGTTTGTACAGTGCAGAAACTTTCTGTTACCTAATGAGTTTCTTTTATTACAAATACGTCTATTTTGTAGAGAATTTTTCTTTGTTTCACAGACTTGATATGTAAAAGAAAAGTTATGCTTAAATGATGTTTCTTTTCAAAGTTTCTAAAATAATCACAAAGGTATGAGGGTAGCTTTTTTAAATGCAAATAATTTTACGTTTCCGTTGTGTTTCAGTAATAATCTTGCTTCCACTGTTGTTGAAATAACTGTAGATATGCAAGTCCCCTGCAGCATTGGCAGGGAGAATTTCAGTTCATTCTGCTACCTTGAAATTAACCTTTTACTATCGCATGCATATGTTTGTCATTTATCCCCTTTTTCTCAGGTGCAAAGAGGGCTACCAAGGAGTCCGCTGTGACCAATTTTTGCCGAAAACGGACTCAATCTTGTCAGATCCAAGTACGTCAAATGTTTTTCTTACATTTCTAATCCATGCTGGCGGCTATTCTTGTCATGTGAGATGACCCTTTGCTTATTGTCAGAAAACATACTGTGGACCAGTTGTGTGTAGAGAACAGTATTTCTTTTGTTGATATGATAAAAATGCATTCTCCATTCTCTGTTACAGAACATCTGCTGCTGCAGCAGCAGGGCAGGCCATTAGTGGACTTGGCTACTTTTGATTTGAAATAATGCAATACCTACTTAAACCCATAATATTCACATTTCTCTACTGTTGACTCAAGAAGAAATAAAATTACTTAATCTGAAAAGAAACCTCATATGGGCTGCAAAATAGTTCCTTCAAAAGAAAATAAATTTATAATGTCTGGCACTGCATTGATTCTGATCTCATTGAAAATATGTGTTGTCAGTTTTTTGGTTTTTTTCTCACTTTTACAAGTAAAGTTGCTCTGTATTTGCAGAGTAGAAATAGACTTCCAGATAGTAATCTGGAGATAAAGTAACTCTCTATTACACTGCTCAGTGAATGCCAGAATGCCATCTGCGTGTATGTTCTTCTACTCTGCTGTTGCCCTTTTTAAATTCTGTTGACTAATAAAACTATGTCAAAAATATTACCCAAGATGAATGTCTTGGAAGTGAATCCATTTACTAATTAATGTTGTTTATCTTAAAATTTTAAATGAAGTGACATGCAACAAAGGGTCATATTCAAGCTCTTGTTTTTGTTCTTATACTTGGAAACTGTAATGTATTCAGTTTTCTGCTTTTGGGTGCTCTTTAAAATTTGATTTGTTTGTGGTTTTTGAATAATAATGCTTGGTTTTCTAAGGGGTTTTTTTTTCTGTTTATTTTCTTGTGCTTTTCCATGTGAAAGTCTGTTGCCAAAGACACCTGTTGTTTTGTAACTCTCTGTGTTGTATAGCTTCTATTATAGTTTGCTTTATATTTGGTTTAGCTTTTCCTTCTGCTTGACCTTTAAAGGTAAAGTACAGAGCTTATAATGAATAGGCAGATTTTACCTCTGCCAAGTTGTATGTGCATGTGTCAATGCAGAAGTGAGGTATATGTCAAGGAAAAAGGTACTCTGTATTCTAAAAGTGGGGGAAAGAACAGTCAATTAACTGGACAGGGTGGTACCTGTCTGATTTTGTTTTAACAAGGGATTTAGCTTTATTCTCTCAAGAGCAGAGAGGAAATTCATACAGAAACAATACAAAGCCCAGAAAAGTCTCCCAGATCAAGCTGCATCTAACAAGACCAAAAGCCTTACAGTGTTTATATACTGCAGACAGCATTGCTATTATTTCTTTGAGCATTGTGTTGGTTGCACATACTTGTTTCTCTTTACTTTGGAAATGCTTACTTACTGTGGCTTCTGACTGTATTGGTTCCATAAAACTTTCCAGCTGTCTGATCTTGCTCGGTAAGCTAAGGCTGATGCTGAAATGTACTTTCTACGTGTTCTGACTACAAAGGCAATTTTATTATTCATTTTATTAATTTATATTACTTAGGACATATAAGAGGAGGGGACCTAGGCTTGATGCTGATGTAGATCCACTGGACACACTTATGGCCCAACAAGGGGCTCTCTTCCAATTGGTTTAAGATTAACATGAGTTAGGTACTTTCTCAGTCAGTTTTGAAATCTAATTTATATTTGATCCTCAGCTGTATTAAAAAGAGGAAAAGCTTCTGTTCAGGTGCATTTCTGTGTGTTGGCATAGTGTGATATATGTCTGTGTGTGTATGTGCATATACACATGTTCTAAGCATGACTAGCCTGAAATAGAAATATTAGAAACTTTTCTGCTGCAGCTGGACAGTGACAGCATCAACATTTTGCTTAGGAGTTAAATCAGTAATGTATTTATCTTCCTTTTGGAGAGGAAAAAACGAATACCGTGCAGATAATTAGCATTACTCACAGAAATATTTGCTATTTCCACAACCTGAGGAGTGTAAAAAATATTTGACACAGTAGTCATGCACTGTAGGATCATTTCCAAGGGCTATGGTGTTACACTGCAAAAACTTAGTTTTGTAGTTGAGAGAGCTGCTGAAGGGTGCTAACGGGGTCAAATTTTGAGGTGGTTTTAGGAAGAAGTGCTTTGCTCATTTGAATTTTGTGGGATTGCTTAGGGTTCTCAATACTAAATGTGTTCAGAATGGCTAGTGATGCATCTGATAACCATATTTAGAAGTTTGCATGCATAAGATGGTGAAGCAATGCGTTTTTAATCTTACTTTGCCTGTGATAGTGCAGGTTACATTTTCAGATCACTTATTATATGGGAAGAGAATCTGAACAACGGCCACTTGGAAAACAGCAAAAATGTCTTAAAATTGTTATTCACACACACAAGAATTATTTTTTTGAAATATCCCTCTAAAACAAACTAAGCTTATTCAGCATAGCTGTTACCTGAGGTTGCATAGTGACAAATAATGTGATATGGCTCTGCAATATTTTTAACAGTATCAGGCCAAACCCAGGTTTTTACGTCATTTTAGCTGTATGTTAGGCAGGTCTTAACTTTACATCGCAGACATGAATGCAAATTTTGTATATTTAATGTAGATTAATGCATGCCAAATCATGTACATGTAGTTTAATTAAGGTGAATGGTTAAAATACTTAAGATTCTGGTTTGGGGAAACTTCTTGCAACTCAGGGCTCTGTGTTAGGCCTGGTGTTGTTTAGAGTCTTCCTTGATGATCTGGATGAGGGGATCAAGTGCACCCTCAGTAAGTTTGAAAATGACACCAGGCTGGGTGGGAGTATTGATCTGCTGGAGAGTAGGAAGGCTCTACAGAGGGATCTGGACAGGCTCCATTGATGGGCTGTGGCCAGTGGTATAAGGTTCAACAAGGTAAAGTGCCGAGTCTTGCATTTGGGCCACAGCAACCCCAGTGTAACACTACAGGCTTGGGGAAGAGTGGCTGGAAAGGTGTTTGGCAGTAAAGGACCTTGCGGGTGCTGACTGATGGCAACTGAGCATGAGTCAGCTTGTGCCCAGGCAGCCAAAGAGGCCAACAGCATCCTGGCCTGTATCAGAAATAGCATTACCAGCAGGCCCAGGAAAAATTAGGTAAGATTTCTTCACTGAAAGGGTGCTCAGGCATTGGAATAGTCTGCCCAGGGAAGCAGTGGAATCGCGGTCCTTGGAACTGTTCAAAAACTGTGTAGATGAGGCTCTCAATTACATGGTTTAGTGGTGGTCTTGGCAGTCTTTGGGTAACAGTTGGACCTGGCAATCTTAAAGATCTTTTCCAACCTGGCTGATTCTATGATTCTAACTACTCAGTGGTGTTTCAGAGTTCCTGAGTTGACATCTGTGGCTTCTTGCAATCAGATCTGCCACCTTCTACTTTCCTTTAGTTAGGATCAAATTAATAGAAAACTGACATAGGACACAGAGAGAAATGTTAAAACACTGCAAACACAGGCCCTTCAAGCATCATAGGTGTTAACAGCTTTCACTTCCCTTTTCTCCACACCATGTTTTCTGGCTTTAAATGGAAGATATTTAAAGAAAATAAAAAATCAAGAAAAAAAAACCCACAAAAACAACTCAAAAAAGAACAGTGCAAATGAAGTAGTTTGAGAAGTAATTTGCTAATCTTGGAATATGGGCGTAACCAGCCTTAAACCATGGGAGCCACAAGAAACCTAACAAAATTAATAATGTCTCCAGTAAGGAAAATGGCTGCATGACAATGCAACTTGTGCTTATAGACACTATTAAGAGGAAGGGATACGTCAGCCCTGCTAATACTGGGCAGGACAAGTCTCTGAACTCTCAGTCAACTTCTCCTTTACCTATGAAGGAAGTGCTAATGGGACAAATTAAATAGAAATGGCAGTCTCATGATGGAATGAAAGGATAGGAGTATATTTGAAATGTTGCTTCAGCTTTCTCCATCTGGGCTAACTTCTTTATACAGTTCATGGCAATGGTAGAGCACTTATAACTTTAGGTATAAGTCATTTTTCAGGCATGTGTAGTCCTGTATGTATCTATAGGACTGGGAATTTATATACAACATCAGTTGTACAAATATACTCATGTACTATCCTTTATAGTGTCTTGGAGTAGACCTGCCTGGCCCAATGAGTCTTGAAAGGTAAGTTGTATGTAGGCTGTGGCTATTTCTTCTGATTAGTTTTTATTCTGAGGCAAAATATGTTGACTATTCTGTGTGGATATTCCAAAGTGGTGAACAAGGCACTGAGAATGGGTTTGTCACATTACCCCTTATTAACCAAATTGTTGAACTTGGCCTTCAACTATTTTGTCCTTAATTTAGCATTGAAAGCTACTTTACTATGCAGAAAGTGTATTTCAGTTTTGTAAGGTGCAGTATTAATTTTGTATTTGTTACATTAACATTCAAGTTGTCCCATTTGACCTCAGATCCAATATTTTTTCAAAATAAATGCATTATTATCTAAAAGAAGAAAATGAGGATGGAAACCTTATAGGTCATTAGGCCATGCTCCGACTATTGTAGTTAAAAACCTGTAATGTAATTCCTTTGTAAGATGATCATACTTCATTTGTAAACCACTTCAGTCAGCATGAATTAGCCACTAGAAACAGGCTTTGTTTATCATTGCTGCTTCGCTGCTCAGAGGGTATCAAGACTTTTTAGCTGCCACACAAAATTTATGCAAAGCCCAAATTTATCAGTTATATTCTTTGTTAAAACACACACTTTGTTTCTACATTGATATTTCTTTCTATGGGTTTCCACCATATTACACTTTGGGTCTGTTAAACTGGCTTTTTCAAATGTCAGAAGTCTTGTTCCTATAGAGCTACCTATACCCTGTGGTCTTTAATACTTTAACCTGTGACAGCATGGCACATACTGTGTTTCTTTTTGAATCCCATCAAAGAGAAACCTGAAAGTGTTGTGACTGAAGTCTGCAGTTACTCATTCTTTGATTACCTCTTTATGTAGAAAAGGATCAAAACCCCTCTCGT